CCGAACTAACGACTGCAGCGGCGCAGCTGCACTTTTCTGTGACCTTGACCCGGCTTCACGCGCGTTGATGTTGTCCCAGGCAGGCCCCGGTGGTTCACGTGCCCTAACAGCCTTGCCCATGGCTCCGGAGTTCAGACTCTCGAGCTCTTGCTTTCGAGTACTGTTGCTTCGGAGGTTGCGGCTGCCCGTGCCTATCGGGCCCCGCCGATGCCGTTGCGCAGGCGACCTCGACGCCTTCGGTGACCATCGCGCAGCGTGCCCGACCGCCGGTGTGCTCGGAACGCGTGGGGCAGCGTTGGAAAGAGCAGCGGCGCGGGTCTGCCAGGAAGCGGGAGAGCGACTGGCCACCAATGTCCTCCTACGAGACATGAATGTTGATGTGCCCTTGACGGACGGCCACTTTGGTGTCTCCAGTCACGCGGGCGGGTGACGCACAGCCTCATGCCGATCGTGTCGCAGGCACAGCGCTTGAGCAGGTGGCGAAGCGCAAACGCCTGCGCACCTACCCAGAACTTGCAGTCGCTCGCCGCCGCAAACTGGTTGTGCTGGGCCTTGAGGTGGGCGGCAGGTTTCGCCGAGAGGCAAACTGCCTTCCTGCGACAGTTGGCCAAAGCTCGCGCCCGTCTCGTAGGACTTAGACGCTCCGACCGTCTGCAGGCGGAAAAAGTATGTTCAAAAAACAGACAGGTTTTTTGTTATTTTGAATGGTTTTCCATTGAAAATACCAAAAAACACATGGTTGTTTTGCTATTTTCAATGGTGTTGAATTAAAACACATAGGCTTTGTTGCTATTTTCAATGGTTTTCAATTGTAAACACCAAAAACCCAATAGGTTTTCTGCTATTTTCAATTGTTTTCTTTTGCAAATACCAAAAAACCATGGTTTTGTGCTAGTTTTTAATGGTTTTCCACTGTAAATGCTAAAGGAGCCGGCTGAGAGCACGGCAGAAGAATACTTGCAGCACCACCAAATGCATCATTCAGGCCTGGGAAAATGCATTCGCGCATTTTCCTGACTAATTAAATCGTTTATTTATGGTTCATGACAACCCAAGACCACGAAACCAAAGCCAAACATCGCAAATAGGTTGGGGCCACAATTGCATAAGCATCCGTGACAAGCCAGATGCGTTTTTCAGGACAGGAAAACTGCATTTGCCTGTGGCTTTTTACCGACGGATAAGTTGGGCTCTGTCGGTTTCGCGGAATCTCAGGCGCTATGCCTCTATGCGCTAATTATTAAGGAAAGCCATAGAAACACAAGAGCATTTTCGAAAATCAAGCGGGAATTTTGCCGTTTCCGACAAGCCCACAGCAAAGAGACACGTGCCCAAATGCTTTTTAGGGAGCTGGAAAATGCATTCAGATAGCTCTCCTTGCAAATTTAGAGCAGATCTCGTGCTGTGTCGAAGCAAAAGAAAGGCTATGGGTCTTCCAAAGCACATCCAAATGCGTTTATCGAAGCTGCTAAAATGATGGATCAATTGCAAATACAAAATTAAAGCTTTGTTGTTATTTTGAATGGTTTTCCATTCAAAATACCAAAAAACACATGGGTTGTTTTGTTATTCTGAATGGTTTTGAATTAAGAACACATAGGTTGTTTGCAATTTTCAATGGTTTTCAGTTGTAAACACAAAAAACCAATGGGTTTGCTACGATTTTCAGTTGTTTTCCGTTGCAAATACCAAAAACAGCCATACGTTTTGTTGCATTTTTCAATGGTGTTCTACTGTAAATAACAAGGGAGCCGGCCGAGAGCAGTTTTCAATAGGAAACACCAAAAAACCAAATGGTTTTCGGTTTTTATGCTACTTTCAATTGTTTTCTGTTGCAAATACCAAAAAACCATAGGTTTTGTGCTAGTTTTCAATGGTTTTCCACTGTAAATGCCAAAGGAGCCGGCTGAGAGCACGGCAGAAGAATGCTTGCAGCACCACCAAATGCATTATTCAGGCTTGGGAAAATGCATTCGCGTGTTTTCCTGACATGGTTCATGACAACCCAAGACCACGAAACCAAAGCCAAACATCGCAAATAGGTTGGTGCTTGGAGACTGACTACAATTGCATAAGCATCCGTGACAAGCCAAATGCGTTTTTCAGGGCTGGAAAAATGCATTTGCCTGTGGCTTTCTACCGGCGGTAAGTTGGGCTCTGTCGGTTTCGCGGAATCTAACGCTCTATGCCTCTGTGCGCTATTTATTACGGAAAGCCATAGAAACACAAGAACATTTTCGAAAATCAAACGGGCATTTGGCCGTTTTCGACAAGCCCACAGCAAAGAGACACGTGCCCAAATGCATTTTAGGGAGCTGGAACATGCATTCAGATAGCTCTCCTTGCAAATTTAGAGCAGATCTCATGCTGTGTCGAAGCAAAAGAAAAGGCTATGGGGCTTCCAAAACACATCCATCCAAATGCATTTATGGAAGCTGCTAAAATGATGGTGTTCAATTGTAAATGCAAAAAACACATAGGCTTCTTGCTTTTTTAACGGTCAATTGTAAATACAAAAAAACACATAGGTTGTTTGCTTGTTTAAATTGTTTTCCATTGAAAATAAAAAAAACATCTGTTGTTTGTTATTTTCAATGGTTTTGAATTAAAAACACATACGTTTCTTGTTATTTTCAATGGTTTTCAATTGTAGACACCAAAAGCCCAACGGGTTTTCTGATATTTTCAACTGTTTTCTGTTGCAAACACCAAAAATCCCACAGGTTTTGTCTTGTGCTGTTTTCAATGGTTTTCAATTGCAAATACAAAAACAACACATAGGTTTTCTTGCTCTTTTGAATGGTTTTCCATTGAAGATACCAAAAAAACACATGGTTGTTTTGCTATTTTCATTGATGTTGAATTAAAACACATAGGTTTTTTGCTACTTTCAATGGTTTTCAATTGTAAACACCAAAAACCCAATAGGTTTTCTTCTACTTTCAATTGTTTTCTGTTGCAAATACAAAAAACCATGGGTTTTGTGCTAGTTTTCCATGGTTTTCCACTGTAAATGACAAAGGAGCCGGCTGAGAGCACGGCAGAAGAATGCTTGCAGCACCACCAAATGCATTATTCAGGCTTGGGAAAATGCATTCGCGTGTTTTCCTGACATGGTTCATGACAACCCAAGACCACGAAACCAAAGCAGCCAAACATCGCAAATAGGTTGGGGCCACAATTGCATAAGCATCCGTGACAAGCCAGATGCGATTTTCAGGGCTGGAAAAATGAATTTGCCTGTGGCTTTCCACCGACGGATAAGTTGGGCTCTGTCGGTTTCGCGGAATCTCAGGCGCTATGCCTCTATGCGCTTTTGATTAAAGAAAGCCATAGAACCACAATAGCATTTTCGAAAATCAAACGAGCATTTTGGCCGTTTCCAACAAGCCCACAGCAAAGATTTTTTTCAATGGCTTTCTACTGTAAATAACAAGGGAGCCGGCTGAGAGCAGTTTCGAATAGTAAACACCAAAAAACCATAAAAAACAACAGGTTTTCTGCTACTTTCAACTGTTTTCTGTTGCAAATACCAGAAAACCCATGGGTTTTGTGCTAGTTTTCGAGTGGTTGTCTACTGTAAATACCAAGGGAGCCAGCTGAAAGCACGGCAGAAGAATGCTTGCAGCACCACCAAATGCATTATTCAGGCCTGGGAAAATGCATTCGCGCGTTCTCCTGACTGATGGAATTGCTTATTTATGGCTCATGACAACCCAAGACCACGAAACCAAAGCCAACAATCGAAAGTAGATTGGTGCATGGAGACTGACCACAATTGCATAAGCATCCGTGACAAGCCAAATGCGTTTTTCCGGGCTGGAAACAATGCATTTGCCTATGGCTTTCTTTTTTTTTGCGTGGGCGGGCTTCGTCGACTGCGTCAGCAGCACTCAGTCCCTACAAACGAACAACCAACCAAACAAGAAAAACAGCGGTGAAACAGAGTCCTGATAGCTGCAGCGCGCAGACTTGGTCGGCGAGTAACTGTTCAGTTTAAACTACACTACAAGCCCGGCTCAGCGACCGCGAGGAAACCGCAGGAGGCCCTGCCCGAAGCAACAGGTGATCCCTCCAAGTCAAAGAGTCAAGGAAGATCGACCGCCGTTCTTGTCGCGCCCGACAACGGACAATCCCTGTAATTTCGTTTCCAAGCGATCGTGCACACCAAAGTCCAGAAGTCCAAAAGTCCAGGAAAATCCACTTGCGCAGCCTGCGACATGTCCGCAGCGCGAGGACTACGGATTGAGAAGGGCACTTCCAACGACTCCACGACGTATGTCGACGGTTGAAAACGAGGGTCACTGGGTCCGCTCGAGGGGGACTAGGTGGCCAAGAGTCCAATCATTGTGGAATTTTCGTCAGCTCTCTCAACCATGGCGGTGTCGGGCAGCAGATTGAGGAGCTAGTACTTTTTTTTGGCTTGTTCGGGCCTCGTCGGCTGCGGCTGCAGCACTCGGTCCCTACGAACAAATCAAACCGAACCAACAAACAAAAACAGCGGTGAAACGTACATGAGAGCTACCTACGCGAAGCCGCAGTGCCCAGGCTTTGCATGGGGTAACCGTTCGGCAAGCTACGGTGCCTCAGCGACCGTTCAGCAGCAACATGCAGCCGTCGCCACACATTGCCCAAAACCAGCGGTGGAGCCCAAGACAAGGCTCCGGCAGCCGTTCTCGTCCCGTCGGACAACGGACAACCCCGCGGTTTTGTTGCCTCCCGATCGTGCACACGGCCGCAAATCCAACACGACCATGTTGTCGGTCCTCCCCTGCAGCAAAGGTCCACATGGCGCGGAAGTTGAACCATTGACAGGGCAAAGCCGAGCCCTTCTGCGTTGTTGCCTTGCGGCCGAGATGCAAACCGTAAGACCAAGGAGCAAACATGGGCTCGGACCGGCAACGTATGTTGTCATCCTCCCCCTCCAAGCGGGACTGCGCGGCGATGACGGACAACACGCCGCACGGGGCCGCGGCGGCGTGGACGCCAAAACACGTCGGTCACTGGGTAGCCGTGCTGGCCATTTCAGATGGCCATTCATCAAGCTTGCGTTGTAGCGCCCGTCCGCCTGGAGGGAAGTGGCTCGCCCGGAGGAGGTAGAGCATTTGGAAATTGCGCTCTCCATAGAGCTGCCATAGTCTCTTAACGGTGAAGTTCGTCGGATCGATGTCCGGCGTATGAAGATGAGGCATTAGTTCCGTGGAAATGAACGGGGAAGACAGGCCGCCGGCAAGCCCACCGGCATCCACGAACTTCTGGGCAGCCTCTCTCCACTTGACCTGCTCCCAAGGTCCCCCTAAACAAATCTGAGCGTTGTGATGCGGAGAGTTCGGATCCTGAGAGGACTCCTGCGCCACTAAGTCGCGAAGAAGCACCAGCGCTTTGAAGCCCCGTAGCTCGTAATGGGCGTGTCGCCAGAGCCGCTCAGAGAGATAGAAGTCTTTCCGCTGGGGCCCACGTAGCCAGTAGGCCACAACCTCCTGCAAATTCCAACCATCGGTTGTTGCAGCTGCCCTGAGGCGCATCAAGGCACCATGTAGAAGCCCCGCAGCCTGTATTGGGAGCGATGGCTGTGCTTGCAGTCCCAGGGCAGCGTCACCCAGCGGGAGCATCAGTCGAAAGGTGCCCTTGTACTTGCCCGGGTAAGAAAAGAGCTGCGGGTCAAACTCGCCTCGCCTTGCCGGCAGTACCCCGCTTCGAAAGCACTCCATTAGGCGGCCAGCAATGGCGACCTGAGGCTGGCCCACAACCGAAGCAGGAATTTCGCATTTGACGCGAATCTCCAGGAAAGTTCCAGTCCGTACGCCCATGATCTGCAAAAAGGAGTCAGACGCATTCCCATCAGCCAGCGCACGAGCGAGGTACAACATCAGCTGCAATGGCAACAGCACCCCGCAGTGGAGCAGAGGAGTGCCTTGGTTAGGGTCGATACTGGTGCGCTCTTCCCCCGTCGACCTCTTGGTGGAAGAGTTCGCATTGCGCCGACTCGGGTTGGCATACTCGAAATTCTTAGGTGCCAGCGACATTTGGATAAGGCTCCCGTCCCGAACGGGGGACTTCTGTCCGGCAAGGGCCCCTGGCAGGGACTTCTTGAGCCCGGCAAGTTCATCAAGAAGAAGCCACCACCATATTTCCGGCCGAGCAAGCTCATACCATGAGAGGTCAAAGACCCGTCCTTCCGGAAGAAGAAGGACGGGATCGCAGAATTGGGCAAGCGCAATCGAGACCGCCAAAACCGGCGTAAGGCAGACCCGAAAGGCTTCGTTATCAGAGCAGCGTCGGAGCATCAGCGCGCGGTCAGCGAAGTCCACGACCCGTGCGCCGAACTGCTGCGGACTGACTTTGACTTCACAGGCTGGTATTGCAAGTGGAAGAGAGAGGAGGGAGAGGCAGTCCGCAGAAGCAGGGAGCAAGTGTTGGAGCGCCGTAGTGTTCAGGACAGTTCTACACCACGCAACACCAAAAGGCTACGAGGCTACTGCGAAGCTACAAAGCGGAAGCAAAAGTCGACAGTGGCTTCACTCGCACTTCTCTCCTTTTCGGCTTGCCGGAGTACGACTGCTCTGCATCTCGACGTGCGTGTTGTCCTTCGGTGCAGAGGGTACAGCCTGAGGAAGTGTTGTAGGTACTGGAGGCAATGGGAACCCCAGTGACCTTAAATGTGCCAGCGACTTCATGTCGAAGCTGTGCAGGTTCCTGCAAGTGTAGGCAGTCAATACCCACCTGTCTCCTTGGATTGGCATCGTACAATGGAGGGATTCACAGCTAAAGGAAAGCGGTGAATGCCAGGTGTCGCGCAATTCACCTTTGCTTGCATCTTCCGCTCTGTGGATGGGGCCGGGATGTTGGCAGCAGAAGGGTCCAAAGCTGGGCTAATCCAGATCTCACCTCCGCTGAAATTGCCGAGTGAAACTGTGTGATTGAGTGTTCCTGAAGCGTTGCCAGCATCCGTGTGTAAGCGAGTACGAACGTTGTGACTCACGCACAAGGAGCTCCAAGAGGCACCCGGGAACTGAAGCTGCATGAAAGCGTTCAAGAAACGAAGTACATCGGAAAATTGTTCAGTGCGCTGAAATATCCCCGACCTGGTGCCGTTATCAAAGGAGAAAGCTCCCAGGTTGAAATATGCTCCGGAAGCGTCAATGGCATTGTCGGTGGGGCCTGCGGCATCAATGAAGGGAATGGAAAAGTACTGCGCTAAAAGCTCCAAGCAGGTAGCGAAGTCGAGGGAGCCTTCACTGATTGCCAAAGATGCACTGGATACTGGGGCACCAGCCTTGGGCAGTGCCGAGGTTGCCCCTGCTGAACCTGAAGGTTGAGCAGGCACTGAAAGCGGGACAACTGTGACCTCCTCAGCGATGTCCCGCTGGTCGCTGAAGTGGGTTTCCTAGTGCGGGGTAGCCACATGCTGAGAAGCTGGGTGATTACCCCCGCAAGCGGTGCCGTCATTCTTGGGCACTGCGCATCTGTGCACATAGCGGCGCGTGGCTGGGTCCTTGCACTGACCGCTCTGGTAGCGCATGCAAAGAGTCTGGCGCTTGCCATCCATGAAGATGGTTGAAAGCCATTTTCCGGGAGGCGTCGCCTGCTTGTTGTCCTTGCCTTTGCCACCTTTGCCGCCTCGCTCGAAGCGCTCTCCCTTCTCGCCTTTGCCATCGCGGCCTTTGCCGCCACGGCCCCCGCCTTTGCCTCCACGACCGTTGCCTTTGGAGCCGGCCTTCCAGCTGTTGTCCGGGTCGTGCTTGGGTTTGGGTACGAATGGCCTGGGCGCAAGTAAGCTGTGCAAATCAGAGCGCACCTCCGCCACTTCGTGAAGCGCATCATCTAGCTTCCAATGATGCACATTGACTAAGTCGGCGATGATTTCCCAACATCGGCGATCAGCTGCCTGGGCTTCCATCGTAGTGGGGCCCCGTAGGTTGGCGGAGGCCTCGTATTTGGTGAAGCAAATGCGGGTGAACTTTTTGTTGTAGAGTTTCAGGGAGCCTAGGTGTGCCCCCTGGCATAAAGCGATCGCATTCGCAGCAAGTGAGAGAAGCTGTGTCACGAAGCTGAAGGAGGCGGGGCCTTCATGGATATCCCGGGTTGGAGCCTCGTCGAAGAAGAACTCTGCGATGTCAAAGCGGGCCTGTTTCTTGGGCCTGATAAGCAGGCTGTCTTCTTGCGCCCTTGCACTTAAGCGGTACTTCCAGGGAATCCATCGCACTTCCTTTTCTGAAAGCATCTTATTGGTAAGGGCCAACAAGCGGGCGCTCGGAAAGCTCTCGGCATCGAGGAGTTCAGTGGGGTAATCCTCCTCGAACCTTTTCCTAAGCGCTGCAGTGCGTTCGCCGCTGAGTTTTGCAGGCCAAGCCTCCTGCCATGAGCTGGAAAGCGGGACTGCGGCCGGAGCGGTTGGCACAGCTGTTGAAGGCGCTTCTCCAAGCGGGAGAGCAGAACTGGGCGTGGCTTCTAAGGATGCCATGCCCTCCGACTGCCGGCATTTGGAGAAAAGCAGGCGTAACGACGCTTTAGTGATAAAGCGTTCCGCTGCTTCTGTCACCGCGGCTTCGGTCATAAAGTGGGTGATCAATTCCTCTAGCTCGGAAGAAGTTGTGCAAGCACGTGCGTACAAAGCGGTGTCAAACTCCGAAAGCAGAGAGGCCACCGCAGGAGGTACGTTGCAGTCCGACACGAACTGCGAGAAGTCGGACATGTCGAAGAGACCTGAGCGGGATGAATGGCTGATGTAAAGCGGGATGTGAAGAACTCTCAGGCGTGGGCCTCGGAGATGATCGTCCTGCGAGGCACACAACAAAAGTTACAAGCTTCAAATGTGTACCTGTGGCCTGTCGCGAGGCAGCGAGAGAGGCCCCCGAGCGGGAGAGAGCTGTGCTTGACCCAAGCGGGGGAGACAAGTAATGTCATGTTTCTGAGCGAATCAAAAGCGGAGGCACACTTCGATGCAATTGTCAGAGCTTGCCGCCTATTTTCCAAGCGGGAAGCGGTGCTCGAGATGACTGGCTTACGAAAGCCGAGCTCCAGCGGGCTCACAAGCCCAGCGGGGTCGCCCGTGTACAAATTGGGTCGACCCAAAAGTGGGCGATTCAGTGCCGAAGCTTGAAAAGTGGGGGGCAGCGTGGATTTCACTGATGCTGCCATGCCCGTCCAGACCAGTTCCAGGAGCTCCAAGCGGGCGAGTCCCCCCAAGCGGTCTGGCTCTGGCCCCACTCATCTTGGCCGTGGTTCCACTGCGAAGTGGCCTCCTGGCGCTCACGCCCACGAGCGCGTTTGCAGTCTCTGCATAAGTGGTTCGAACACGTGGAAGCTGTTGGATCTGTCGCTGAATGTCGCCTGACAGTGTCCCTGAGCGCATTGGGAACACTGGCGGCGGCATGCCCACAATTGAACCAGCTGCAAAGTGGCCCGGCCTTCGCTATCATAGATAGTGTGTCCCAAGCGGGAGGCTGGGGCGTCACTAGCGAGAAGCGGGGCTATCTCGCGCTGTGGTGTTGAAGCGGGCGGCTGTTGCCCTGTGTTTCCCGAGCTTCCGCCCGTGGTGCCCTCCTCCACAAGCGGCGGTGGCGGGGCCTTGGAAGCGGGAGGGGCGCTGGGCGTAGCCGCCGGGGGTGTAGTGGCCACCGAAGCGGGTGGAGCGGGCGTAGCCATGCTCTTCGACTTCAGCAGCGGTACCCCGGCCTTTGGGGTGGTCGACGCCAAAGCGGGCGACGAAGGAGGTCGCGGCGGCGGTTCCTTGACCTCGGGTTCACGTTGCCAGCGCTTGGCGTTCGTGACCCCGTCACCTGTGGCCTCGGCGTTGGCCTCTTCTCCCTGAGCAGCTGAAGTGGCTCCCTTGGGGGCGCTCTCGCCACCGGTGGCTGCTTTAGGCTCCGCTGGTGTGTCCAAAGTGGGTGCAGCAGGCGAGGGAGAAGATGTAAAAGCGGCCGGTGTCCCGTAATCTTCGGCAGCGATAGAGTCCCCGATGGGGTCGATCACGGTGCTCGAAGCAGGCTGCCCCGAAGGTGCTGCTGCCAAAGCGGGTGCCGGCGTTGTGGAAGGAAGAAGCGGGTCTCCTTCCATTCGCTTCAAAAAGTGGGCCCTCTCAGCCTCGTTCATGCTTTTGAGGAGGCTGAACACGTAGTCGGGGGACAACTTGGCCATGACCCACGCTGGAAGTAAAGCGGGATTATGTTTCATAAGCTGATCTCGAGCAAGAGCTTATGGAATGACATGTCACAAGCGCGAAAAACAGGCTGTAGCACAAAGTCATGACCCAGAAGTGCAAGATGTATCGCTGTATTTCTCGGGAGATGCTCAAGCTACCTCCAAAGATGCTATGATGCATGCCCGCCGCTTACATAAGCGAGATTCAGGCGGAAAATGCACAAAAGCGGAAAATTCTGAGATGCATCCACAAGCGGGGTGACATCGAACCTGGCATTGGGCATCCTTGCACGCCAAGCAGGTCTCATGCGGGAGCCGGGGTGGGAAACGCTGAGGTGTGCCACTCCGGATGCTCCTAGCAGATACCGCACCTCCCTGCAGTTTGTGCGGGAAGTTTGAAAAGATGGAGCTTCAAGCGGCTGCTCCTCATGTGACACACTAAGCCCCTCGCTCGCTTCATCTCGCCATGTGGGTTCGACCTCCAAAGTGGATGCGACCATCGCTGAAGGGCGGGCCGGGCCTGCATCATCGGCATCTGAGTCCTCGAAGTGGTCGACCTGCGCCCGGGCGCGAACACAAGAGGGAAGTTTGGGGCCTGACCGTGTAATCGTTGAGCATGACTCTCGGGCTTCGCGGAGTTCGCCGTCCTGTTGTTCCAGGGCAAGGAATGATTGGAAATCACTGCCAAGCGAGAAACATGTAAGTTCCGGGATGAAGGCGTCCCATTGGAACCCCGCCGTCTCGAAGGGGGGCTCGGCAAGCGGTGATTGTCCCCCTCGGTGTTGCGGCCTGGCAGGACGGAAGCCGGAGTGGATCGACCGCCACAAAAGAAGCTGCGCTCTCAGGGCTGGCCATACGTCGTCCCGTGAGTAAAGCTGGGCAGAGCCAGGGGTTTTATGATGTCCCTGGAGAAAGCGGGACGCCAGTGGGATAGAAAGCTGAGACATCCACGAAAGGAAGGTCGTCTTCAAACTGTGAAGCGTATATTGAGAAGCTTGATGCTGCTCTATCCCTGAAAGCGTCAGCCAGTGGCGCAACTTCTGAAGGGCCTGTGAATAAGTGGCCGGAGCAAAGCCTGCATCACTTAAGAGGAAAAACATGCAATCTGGTTCCGGCTGGGCCCCAAAGCGGGAGCGGAGGTCGGACCAAACCTTGTCCAATGCTCCCAACCAGCGGGGGAGCCAAGTCAGCCCCCATTCCTCAGAGGACGAAAAGGGGCCGAAGCTGAGAAGACCAAAGGGGCATCCGCCTTTGGTGGTCTTGGTTCTGTAGCATATTCCCCGTAAAGTGAAATGGCTCACACAAAGTGAGCTCCAGCGGACATGCTGGGCGTCCGCGAAGCGGAGGCTCGCACCGATTGCCACCAAGAACGACCCCGCCCAGATGGTGTCCATCAAGCTGGCTGTGCCTGAAAGCAGGGTGCGCTCAAGGAAGGCCACAAAAGAAAGCGGCAGTGGTATGCTCTCTCGTTTCTCCTGGCCAGACGGATTGGAGAGGAGACTGAAAGCTGTGCCGTACAGGTCTGGGAGGCATGCAAGTGAAAGAAGCTTCTTGTACCAGCGCAGCGCCTTGAGCACATTGATGCTGTTGGAAAGGGGGCCTGTTTCGGAGCCTCGAGATAAAGCGAAGAAAGCATCAAGGAAGAGACCTTGGTCGATGGACTCCATGTTGCCACCCAGCTCCTCAAAGGCACAAAAGAAAAGCTGGACTGAGCGAAGGTAGCGGGCCGCCGTGGTGTCACTCACCTTGCTGAGAAGCCGAGACTTGATCACTGCTCCCTCGCGACTCCCTGAAAGCTGTTGCAGCACCTCGCTGTAGGCACCATGCGATGCACAAAGCTGGTCGAAAAGTACCTTGTTGCGTTCATCGCACGCCTGATGATTATCCTTGCTGGTGACCAAGCCGGCGATTGGCTCACGAAAGGCAGGCGGGTGTAACTCTGAAGGTGCTCGCAAAGCTGTTGTTGAGGGCTGAACTGGTCTCGGCGTTGCCAGGGAAAGCGATACCTGAACAGGAGAAGGCTGCTGCATGGGGTAGACCGCGTAAGCCGAAGCGTCCTGAAAGTGCGGCAGTGCCTTCGCCGTCGGGAAGATCTGGGATGTAGACTGCTGCACAGGCACGGCTTTAGGGGCTTGCCGCGGAGTGGGGAAGGGAGCGCAGGGGCGGAGCCGAGCAACTGTAGGCTGGCGCCCGTTGTGCCCCACCTGAAAAGGGGAACTGTATCGCAAGCACACCCTGGGAGCCCGCCAAGTGGGTGCCTTCGGAGTAGCAGGCAAGCTGGGTCTAGGAGGGGTGGATTGCAATGGCATAAGCAGATATGTCGAAGTTGCTGAAGGCGACCCATGAAAGGATGCATTCTCGGGCACCGGCTGGTTCTGCTCTATAAGCTGCCAGGATTGATCACCGCTGGATGCACCTGGGCTGTTTTCCATAGGTAGGGGAGGAGTCACCGGGGCACAATGTGCTTGGTGAAGCCAGCGGCGTCGAAGCTTACTCCTGGGTTTCAAAGCTTCCTCTGCATCTGAGTCAGCAACCTCAAAAGTGGGTGCTGGAGCTGGAGGCTGTGGATTAGGGTCTGTTGGATCTGCAAAATCAGCAAAGTGGTTGCGAAAGGACGCCCTAAGCTCCAAAGCTTCATCAGCAGAGCAGAATGGTGAGGAGTCAGCCAAGAGTATATCCGTAGCCACCCTGCTAGAAGGCAAAGCTGGCGCATCACCAACAAAAGCTTCCGAAACGTCCATGGTCAAAACCAGATCCTAAGTCTTGCCACTGTCTCCGAAAGCGTCTCTCGAAGCAGGGTCGCGAGCGACCTGACCTTGATGGCAAGCTTCTGAGTGGCTTCCTCCAAAGCGGTGGTCCTGTCAGCGAGAAGAACCAACCAGCCACGCCCTTGCCCTAGCTCGTCCTCTAAGCGACGCAGACGAGTGTGCAAGCGGGCGATCTCCGTCCGCTGGGCCGCTGATTCGGCCTCCAAATCGTACAGCCTGTCACAGAGGGCCCTGACGTCGTCGGTCAGGTTGGCTTCGACCAAGCGGATGTCGAATTGCCGCACTTCCCTGTTAAGATCTTGCAGGACTGCACGGAGTTGCGGGCTATAGGGCGCAGGCGCGTCTTCCATGCAAAGCAGAGGCTGAAGCTATTGCACTTAAAGCTGCTGAAAAGTAGTCCTGACAGCTAAAAGCCTAAGCATGAAGCAAAGCTGGAAAGTGAACAGCAAAAGCTAAAAGTTTTAGAAAGCAAGCTGCTGTTGCGTGGTGTATGCTTGAACCCAAGCGGGGCAGCGGGGTAAGAACTGCCGAAACAACCCTGAGTAAACACAGGAACCGGCCCCAGGGCCTTCAACCTCAGCCAGACTACGTCCTCGGGCTTGGTAAGCATGCAAAATGGAGTGCTGCTCGTCAAAGTCATCCTCCTCCTCCGGCGGAACACATACGGTGGCAATGGCTGGTACATTGGGGACAAGGCGTGTCAGTGGAGTTGCAACGGCCCTTAGCAGGGACTCAACACGCTCCGCCCACGGCTCCTGGGGGGCCTTGGGGGTGGAGACGGCACAGCTCTGACTCCGTAGCTCCGCGGTTAGAGTGGGGTCCTCCTTGATCAAAGTACCACTCTTGGGGTCCGATCGTGCACAGCCCGTAGGGTCGTAGAGGGCTCGGGCCAGGCCTGTAGAGGAGACGGAAGGCAACAAGGCGGCAGGTGCTCCCGTCTTCCGCAGGAAATCAGACATGAAGCGCTGCAACCGACCCAACACAGTCCGATTAATGAGATCCGAGGCGATCCCATACAGATAGAAGGCACCCGGGATGGCGGCAATTGATAACTCCCCCTTGTCGCTGCCGCCTCGACAGTAGGTAGCATCCTCACTGATGTTTACATGTGTCCCGAGCAAGGAGCGGTGATGGGTGGACCGAAACGCACTGTAGACCCATTTGGGAGCCTCGCCACTGCCCTTGTGAGCGCGCAGGGCGTACAGGCTGAATCGCGGCAGCGGTTGAGTGAACTCCAGCATCCCAAAGATGGGGTCCTCAGTATCGATGACCGGGAAGAAGGGGCGGACTGCAATCAGGCGTCCTGTGGGCCCGCTGTGCTCGAAATCCATTCCCCGCAATAAAAGTTGGATCGGCTGGTCGACTGTCCCAAAATGCGCCGCAACTGCACAAGCCTCGCAAAGCGGAGGTATGCTGTTGACCGACCAACGATCATAGAACTCCCGTGCTGTATCGCCATCCTCCCGGGGCGGGCTCCGCACTCCCAGCTGTGCCAAGCCGTAGGTCGAGTAGAGAGATTCCCAGTCGATCAGAGTGTGGTGGAGTGTAGCATGCAGCTCCAAAGCTGCAATAATGCCCCACCAATGCGAGGGAGAGGCGATAATCAGCGGCCCCGTCGGCCTGGTGCTGCCGGCGGTGAGGCGCTGACGGGCGTCCTCCCCCGCCATGGTGAACCGTCCAGCCTTGTCAACGAGGCAGATGTCAACCGCGCCCGTGGTACCAGCACACACTGTGGTTGTGAACAGGTCCACGAAGGCCCCCAGCTCATTATGATGATGATACAAGAAGCGGAAGAGGGTAGCTGCATCCTCCGTCGTGGATAGCTGGCCAGGTGGAGGGAGGCGCGGCAATTGTTCTGCAATAAAGGCTCCGAAGGTGGTGCCCTCCGGCACCACCCTATGGGCAGCACCCGTGTCAGCGTTCGCCGGCCGCGGGTTGCTCAATCCCAAACCGTGCTTCAAGGAGTCGAAGACACGGGTAGTCGGTGTGACTACAGTAATCTTCTTGCCCGCTTGAACAGCAAAGCGGTGGCCACAAACATTGTAGGCAAACACCAAGAGGACGCAGAACCACTCCACCAGATCATCTTGATGGGAAGCAGAGGCACGACGCGGTCTCCTGACAAAGTACACGCCTGGCTGGTGAGAGCCGTCGGCCGCAATGCGCTGCTGACGCCTGGCGGCTGTGTCCGCAGCAAGTTCACCGATTTCCACCGGGCACGGTGAATGCGCCAAGGGTGGGCGGATGACAATAGACTGCGGGTAACGAACGGCCGTGATGAGCAGATACAGATCCGCAAGGAGCCGGGTTGAAGCCACCAGCGCCAAATTCAGGCATACTCCGTCGATCCTCTCGAGTCCTTCAGCCTGAAGCGCTGTTTGGGCCGACGCAAGTATTGCGCCAACCGCTGACAAACGATTGAGGTAGCAAAGAAGGGCTTCACTGCGTGACTGGGATTGAGGGAGCAGGTCGACGGCAATCGCAGCCGGTGTGAGCCGGCCGGGGCGGGTGCAGGCTCGGTCACCCACATGAGTGATTGCAGAATAGGGGACGAGGTAGCTCTGACCTTGTCGTGTTACCCGGCAACTGCGCAAAGGGCGGAGATCCTCTTCCAATCCCACTGTAACCGGACCCCTGACATTGAAGAGGCACTCAGAAACCGAACTAATCACGGTTAAGGTGGCGCCCTGAGGGGGTTCCTCACCCTGATGCCCATTCTGTCGATGCCCGAGGCTGGTGTACTGGACTGTGTGAGGCGGCCCTTCCTGAGTGGACTGCACCAGCCCTCGTAGGGCTTCGGCGAGCCTGCCTGGGGGAAAGGGCTGAGGGGCTAGCTGGGCAAGACCACGTATACCAACAGGCTTGGCATTTAGGCGAGCTAACGTATTTAGCTGCACATCCCCTTTTCCCCCGCCAGAAGGCTGCCTCGGGTCCCCAGTTCTAATGACGAGTTGGGTCGCGGCATTGGCGATGATAGCGGCCGATGAAGGCTGTCCTTCTTGCTGGCCCTCGTCAATAACAATGACTTGGGCGCTTTCTAAGAAAGTCTTCACTTCACTCCACGAGGTATATCGTAGCTGAAGTGCGGCCGACCCTTGCGTAAGCAAGAGCATGTGCGTGCTTTTGACAGAGGGGGAGGCGAGGCGTGCCCCTCGCCCGCGCTGTGCCGGCTGTGCTGTCCTGATCTCCCCTAGGCTTGCCGCCAGATGTTCCGCAGCCTCCGTGAATGGGACGTGATCATGATTCGGATCGATCATCTCAGCATCGCCAGAGACCCGCCTCACCACGACAAGAGGCCGAAGCCACGCCGGGGCGTCTGCCAGTAGATTGGAGGCAATACGGACAACAGCAATGAGCGCAGAGTGCTGCTGTGCCGTCCAAAACACCGTTTGCTCCAACACAGCATCCATACAGACTAGTGCGCACCAGAGCGAAAAGGTTTTGGAGGATCCAGCACAGCCCAGAATACCGAGAGAGCTGCGCTTGGTGGCCCGAGCAGCAAGAATGGCAGCAATATGGCCGAGGAGGAGGCCATCACGACTCGCGAGGAGGTCAGCAATGTGCCGGCAGAATGACTCCCCCATGAGAGCCGCCAGGGCATGCATCTCGGGTGGGATCAGAGCCGGAGGAAGCCGCCAATCGTGGTTAAAAGCCTCTCGCGGGTTGGCGCGTTGCGGCAACCCCTGAAGAGAGCGAAGGCGCTGCCTGAGGGAGACGTAGTCGGCGTCCGTCATGTCCGGCGAGGGCGGGAACTGTGGGGCCCTGGCCGCAGCTTCCACTGCCTGCAAGAAGGTGAGAACCAGGTGCGCTTCCATAGCAAAGTTGGGCGGCGGACTTGCCCGTATAGGCATGCCAATGGCAAGGGGTACCCGGGCAACGGGCATTTTCAGCACTTGCAAGAAGACATCGAGTGCGCCTCCCACCTTGATACAGGAAAGACTACGCAAGGAAAGATCCCAATGCGTCACGCTTCGTGCATGCGGCACCGCGCCCAAGAAGTCGGGCCACTGGCTGACCAGCAAGAGGGCACTGATGGGATTCAGCCTATTTCGCCGGCGTTGTGCCTGCTTGTGAGTGCGGGACCTGCCCGACACACGGTCCGGCACGACCGAAGCCACGAAAACTGCAGCAAGAGGTGCCCTATTGAACTCCAATTCCAAAAGGCACCCCTCGGAAGGTGGGCGGTTGGCACTTTGGCGATGTGAGAACCAGCCAGTGTCATCAGGTGCCGCCGGGGGATCCGGACATGACAAGCCAAGCACGTATGTGCCAAAGCTAAGGTAGTCTACGACACGGACAGTGACCTTGAGGGCCGGCGAGTAGGTGCGCTTGGTGTCACGATGGGACATCCGACGGTGTTCCTGCCCGGTGTCCTCAAGTGCCGCGCCCTGGCTGTAGACGTGAAAGTGCAGGAAGTCCACGACCCGTTCGATAGATAGCTCACGGAGGGCCTGCTGTACTGGGACCGGTAAAGGGAGGGAAACAGTCTTATCCTCCGCGTAGCATCGGAGCCTGGCGTTCGTGAGGATCCACTCCCGCAGGGCCCCTACGCATTGTGCAACTGAGTTGGGCGTGACCGAGCCCAGAGCAGTGGAAAGCTCCGACGGCAGGAAACGGAGGGCACTCAATGGCTTGAGCACTTCTTCTGTAACACGATGGGGGAAGAGCGCAGTCATGACCTGTCCCAAGTCCCCCTCGATCAGGCCGCGACTGCGGTAAAAATGAAGGGATTGAAAGGCCCACTCAAGTTCCTTGCCCAGGTCCCT